TGCGGTCAAGACACAGGATGTCTAGTCTAAGAAAAAACAGAGCGGATGCTTTTCACTATGCTAATTATTGCAGATTTCTCAAGGTATCATTTATGTTCCCCCATATTTCAAAATTACAGAAGCAATTAGGCCTTGTTATTTAGGGCACTAAGAAAGCCTGTATTATAAGCAGTTGGTAATGGTGTTGATGAATCTTTCAAAAAGTCACAATTGTATCTCCAATGATGCAGAAAAGGCTTTTGATAAAATACAACATTCATTCATGGTAAAAGCTCTGGAGAAAATAGGAACAGAAGGAACATTCCTTAAAACAATAAAAGCCATAAAGAGACCAACAGCCAGTATTATACTTAATGGGGAAAAGCTACAACCAATCTCCTAAAATCAGGTATAAGGCAAGGATCCCACTCTCTCCACTCCTCTTCAATATAGTTCTGGAATCCTTAGCCAGAGCAATAAGGCAAGAAAAAGACATTAAAGGGATCCACATAGGGAAGGAAGAAGTTAAACTATCTCTTTTTGCAGATGACATGACACTATACCTCCATCCCCAAACTCTTAGAAATTATAAACCACTTCAGCAAAGTAGCAGGATACAAAATCCACCCACAAAAATCAGTTGCCTTTCTGTACACCAACAATGTACAAGCAGAAAGAGAAATCAAGGAAACCCCGTTCACAATACCCACCCCCTATAAAATATCTAGGAATTAAACTAACCAAAGACTTAAAAGAACTATTCAATGAACACTATAAAAACTTAAAAGAGAGAAATTACAGAGGACACCAGGAAATGGAAAGACCTTCCATGCTCTTGGATAGGCAGACAATATAGTGAAAATGGCCATACTGCAAAATTAATATACAAATTCAACACAATTCCTATTAAAATCCCAATGATGTACATTTCTGAAATACAGAAAAAAATCTAAAAATTCATATGGAACAACAAAAGACCTAGATTAGCTAAAACAATTCTAGGCAAAAAAGACAACATGGGAGGGATCTCGATGCTAGACTTCAAACTACTATAGAGCCATAATAACAAAGACAGCCTAGTACCGGCACAAAAACAGACCCGAAGACCAATAGAATAGAATAGAAGATCCAGAAATAAAACCACATACCTACAGTCAGTGGATATTTGACAAAGGAGCCAAAGATGTACAGTGGAAGGACAGCCTCTTCAACAACTGGTGCTGGAAAAACTGGACGGCCACATGCAGAAAACTAAAAGTGGACCCCAGCCTGTCACCATGCAGTAACATCAACTCAAAATGTATTAAAGACCTTAATATCAAACCTGATATTCTGAAACTACAGGACAGACAAAGAGAGACACTTGAACTTATAGGCACAGGCAAGAACTTCCTGAACAGATTACCAGGGTCACAACAAAATGGAGAGAGACTCAACAAATGGACTACCTTAAAATAAAGTTTCAGCACAGCTAAAGACACAGCAACCAAACTAGAAAGACAGCCAACCAACTGGGAACAAATATTTACCAGCAATATATCAGACAAAGGTCTAAATACCCATTAGATACAGGGGACTCAAGAAACTAACCCCTCACAAATCAAACAAACCAATCACTAAATGAACAAGGGAGCTAAAGAGAGACTTCTCAGAAGAAGAGATAAAAATGGCAAAGAAACACATGAGGAAATGTAAATATAAACAGCCCTGAGATAGCACCTTACCCCAGTCAGAATGGCTCATATCCTAAAGTCAGCCAACGATAAACGCTGGAGGGGATGTGGAGAAAGAGGAACTCTACTACCTTGCTGGTGGGAATGTACACTAATACAACCACTCTGGAAAGCAGTCTGGAGGTTCTAAATATAGACCTCCCCTATGACCCAGCTATACCACTCCTAGACATTTATTCTGAACAACAGGAACCAATATACAAGGACACATGCACCTCCATGTTTATTGCAGCACTGTTCACAATAGCCAGGATGTGGAAACAACCCAGATGCCCCACCACAGATGAATGGATCCAAATATTGTGGTACCTATACACAATGGAATATTTTACATCTATTAGAAAGGACAAAATAGTGGCATTGGAAATAGTGGAAATAGATGGAGCTAGAAGAAATCATGTTGAGCAAAGTAAGCCAAGAGCAAAGAGACAAACAGCACATGGTTTCCCTGATAAGTGGATGTTAAATCCAAAACATAAGGTGATACGACAAAGTTAACAAGACTTGAGAAACAAAGGACCTCCACTCATCTGGTCGAATCACTACTAAATAACCCCATGCTGCTGATCTCATATATGGTATATATGTGCAAGTCAGAGGGAAACTAGGAGGAAGATACAGAAACAGAGGGAAACAGGGAAAAACATACAACAGCGCGACCCATCAGCTGCACTGGACATTGATCAAAACAAGCTAAGCATCTCAACGGCAGTGATGGGAGGGAATGAGAGGGAAAGAGGGAATAGCTGACACTAAGCAAAAGGAAAGAAAGGTACATATCACCCAAAGTGGAAGAAATGGCTGTTTTGTCAAAGCTCATAGAATTCACAAATTTTATAGACCATGATAATGACAATTTGCCTGGTGAAGGTCAGAATGTGTCTGTGACTTTAAGAATCACTCTCTCACTACACTGTGAAATTTATGTAATCACTTAATTACAATAAAAATTTAAAAATCACAGTTGTCAGTTGTATTCATGTGAATCCCTCCCAAGAGACCCTGAGCTGCCAGCCAGACTCCTAATGAGCCCACGGCAGAAGGGGGGATGGCAGGCAGACCGCCACCTCATACAGCAACCCCGGAACAGCTCCTCTCACCACTGTGAAACCCTTCAGGAGGGCAGGTGGCACCAGCAAGAGCTTTCCCTCTCATGACCCTCAGGCTGGACACACTGAAAGTGGCAACTTCCTGCTCCTTCTTCTGCACTTCCAGCTGTGGGCAACCCAGGGCAAATGGCCTCCCTGCCCTCCTGGACCAGGGTGGATGGTGGACTGCCCAGTCCCCCTGCCCCAGCATCGGGCCTCAGGACAGCGCCGGAACACTACCTTGGTGTTTCTTGTTACATGAGGGGATGAACAGCTCGCACAGATTTCTCATCGGAGGAGCAGCACAGGCCAACATGTGCAATTGCCAGTGCCCTCCATGCAACACCAGGGCCCTCCCACCCATTCCAACTAGCGCCATCTGAGACTTGATTCCCAGAGCATCAGTCAATGCTAGCTGCAGCATGAAGCCCATCACAAGTGCAGGGTCAGGCTCCGAGTGTCCTCCAGGGCCTCTGCCTCACGTGGTCAGGTACAGATGGCAGGGTGGATGCCAGGGCCTCAAGTGACCAGGTGCAGAAGGCAGGGTGAGCCCCAGGGCCTCACCGTGGCCAGGTGTGGTATAGACATCAGGGCAAGGAACCCTAAGCTTCCTTGAAACACAGTGACTGGGGAACACGCTCTAAGAGTCAGATACACACCGCATTCTCTCTCACGATGTGGGGGATGGGAAGATAACTTCAGGTGAACACAGCCTGAGAAAAGATCTCATTTTCCAACTGGCTATTTTAAAAATGTGAAATCAAAATGAAGAATCAAAAGTGGAGTTGGTTTGACACTATACTCCGAAAGCACCACAGACCTGAGTGTCTACACACACACCAAACCCTGCCTCAGCGGCCCTCCCGGGGCTGCCCCGCCCCCTCCGTGTGGCTGTCCCAGGGATGGCCTTTTGTCTCTGAGGCTGGGCCTCTCAGCCTCCAATGCCCCTCTCCCATCACACTCTGAGGCAGAGACCCTGCCAGGCCTGGTCAGCGAGACCTGCTGGGTTCTTGTCCAGCCTGAGGGCCGGCACCGGTGTCTATGGCACCCCAGCCGCTCTCCACCGCCCTGAGGGGCAACACTCCCAGCAGGAGCTACAGTCCCGGGCATTGGGGACATTTCTGAACCACAAGTAGCCCTGCCTCTCAGACTGGGCAAGTCCACACTTAGTGTCTCCGATAATGAGGAGAAGGCACACACCGCGTGGTGTCCAGAAGGTTCTGACACTCACCAAAAGATCCTTTTACTGGCTCCATCTCAATCCAAGCGCCTTCTTGATATGCCGTGGGGTGTGGGAGGGATTTCCGTGACTCTCCTGGGAACCAGCCGCAGGCTGGGGATGTGCTCACTGCAGCAGCGCTGGGGAGGGAACCAGGGCTCTGCACAGCCTCGTGTCCCCAGCCCTTCACTTTAAATAACATAGGAATGACAGACATGAGGCTTTTGGCTGGAGCCCAAGGTGTGGGTGAGCAGAAGGCAGGGTGACGCTCCCCACCCATGTCCACCAGGGCTGCAAGCCTGTCATGCCTGGCCACTCCACAGGTGATCCTTACCACAAAGGAGAGGGAACAGCAGAAGGGCATGGTAAGAAAAGCAGTGAATAGCTTCACTGTTATTGGACAGCGTGGTCTGGGTGTAGACAGAGTGTGGTCAGGATGTGGACAGAGTGGTCAGAGTGTGGGCAGCATGTGGTCAGCATGGTCAGAGTGTGGACAGCATAGTCAGAGTGGACAGCGTGGTCAGAGTGTGGACAGAACATGGTAAGAGTGTGGACAGAGTGTAGTCAGAGTGTGGACAGCATGGTCAGTGTGGACAGCATGGTCAGAGTGTGGACAGAGCATGGTCAGAGTGTGGACAGAGTGTGGTCAGTGTGTGGTCAGAGTGTGGAGAGTGTGGTCAATGTGGACAGAGCATAGTCAAGGTATGGACAGAGCATGGTCAGAGTGTGGATAGAACGTGGTCAGAGTGTGGACAGCATGGTCAGAGCATGGTCAGAGTGTTGAGCGTGTGGTCAATGTGGACAGAGCATGGTCAGAGTGTGGACAGCGTGGTCAGAGTGTGGACAGCGTGGTCAGCATGGACAGAGTGGTCAGAGCATGGACACCATGTGGTCAAGGCAATTGAGCTGGTCCAGACGTGCATAGTTCCTAACCAAGCCCCCCACCCTGGATGAGGAGACCGCAGTGGCCACCACCAGCAGTATCTATAAAGTATCTTCTCTTTATTTAAGTTAAACAATTTCAAGGATGGTTTCCATCTATAAAATGGACAAAGTACAAGCTCTGTACAGCAGTTCTTTTTAAAAATCAACTGGAAAAAAAATTACCAAACTATATTTTAAATCTGCAAAACATATGCAAGACACCATCCTTTCGGTTTTAGGGAGACACGAGGACCCCACAGAGACGAACGCCTTGGCCGCCTGCCCGGAGGGCCCAGGCAGTCTGCAGTTTTACAAACAGGAGAGTAGGGTGGGGCGGCCCGGGTGATGATAGACAACGCAAGCACGGTCAGTCACTTTGGCACTCTGCGTCATGTAAACACGGCCCACCAGCTGCCCAGCCAGCCTCCGCTGAGCTGCCCACAGCTCAGGGCTGGGGGGCACGCCAGTGGCCAGCTGATCACCCAGGCGGGCAGGGGAGGCACGGCGCAGGTCCTGTGACACACTGATTGAACAGCTGCGTCTGTGTCTTGTTTTGCATCTGTGTCTTTTCCTAACACAGAAGTGTGTGCAGGCGAAGGGCTGAACGGCTGGACTTGCTCACAGCAGAGACCCAGCCCAGTGCCTGTGAGTGGCCTCCCTCAGGACCACCCCGCAGGGTGGACATGTGCAGCCAAAGCGGCACGTAGCTGCCCTGTCTATGCTCATCTAGTTGTTTGGGAGGGTGAGGAAGGAGAGAGGGGACACCTGCCACGCCTCGGCTGAGGACCTGCAGCCATGGGGTGGACGTGGACTCCTGCAGTGGGGAGGATGGTTAGCAGAGCTCCCTTCCTACCACGGCAGGCCCCTGTGAGCCACAGCGTGGGGCCTCTGTGCTCATAGGGGCCCAAGGGGCGCGCGGTGATGCTCATAGCACCTCGTGGCAGACCTCCGGCACCTCTTCCCGTAACACTGGGGTGTTCACATGACCCCACGCCGCAGCTCCTGTCTATCCTCACCAAGTGCCTGACTCATCCAGAACCACAGTCCCATGGGCGGCGTGAGGTTGACACCACACGGAGTCCCTGTAGGCTGAGGGGCCCGTCACCCACGCTTAGCTCCCACACCCAACCGTGTGGGTCAGACTGTCACACAGGTTGGGTATGGCTGCTGCCTAATGGCATAGGCACTGGGCGGGGCTCCGTCGCTTGGGGGGGAAGCGCTGGGGCTCACAGTACGAGCTGTGGGTTGACTTTCTTTCTTTTAAAGAAAAGAAACTGAACAATAATATTAATTATAAAACAACCCAAAGCAAAACTTGCCCAAATAAATAACCCATCCAGGTTTACAGATTCCACAAAGCCACGACTCCCACAGGAAGGGCAGTGGAGACGCCATGGGCAGCGTCAAGGCCTTGGGCGGGAACAAGGGCGGCCCGGTCTCAGGAGAGCCAGCGCCCCGGCTGCACGCTGTCGGCTTGCGCCACGGGGTTCACAGGATGGAGGCCCATGGGAACCCTAGGGGATGAACCCTACACAAGCGTGTTCTGGTTCGTATCTGATGTCCCACCTCGGGGAAGTTCATGTCCAAACACGGCAAGCACATCAGTGGGGGAGGGGAGGGGCACGCGGGTGGCTGGGCCCACGGGCTCAGGGAGGGACAAGGACACCTACAAACGGCATGGGTGGGTTTGTAGGAACCACATGACATGATTTTCTTTTATAAGACGGGTCTGGATGTGTATCCCAGGCTGCTTGTGAACTCAAAATCCCCCTGCCTCAGTTTCCCCCATGCTGGGTCACAGGTGCAAGTCACACCTAGTTCACACATGATTCAGAGGTTTCAAGGGTTCTGGCTGAGGCGCCCGTTGGGCCCTCCCTTCCTCCCACCTGGCCTGGCGGGGAGGGCCGGCAGGAAGCGGGCTGTGTGGGGGCAGGGCGCAGCCTGGGGGCTGCTGCACCGAGCTGGACGAACCGGCCTTCTGTCTCACCACACGGTCAGGGTCAGCACAGCCCACACCTCACGTGCGTCCTTCAACTCTCAGACCAGGATGGAACACTGAGGTATATAGTTTCGCAGAAAGTTGAAGAACCATAACCCATGATGTGATCACCAGATGGGGCCGAGGAGCAGGAGGACGGTGGCATCTCTGGGCTCCTACTGCTGCAGGTTGAGCGAGAACTTCCACTGCTGCGAGAGGGCAGGTCCACACACCTCCACACGCAGGCCCCCGCTCTTGGCCGCCCGGCTGTCCAGACACAAATTGCTGCCCACGTGCCGAAGCTTTGAGTTACCCTCGATCTGTTCCCACTTCTGCAAGACAAAAGTGAGGTCTGAGAGGGAGCGCAGGACCAAGATATCCAGGGTGAGGCCCGGAGGGGGTGAGGACCAGGCCCTCAGAGGCCCATGGAGAGGCCTGGGGAGGGTGAAAGGGCCAGCCAGGCCCAGGGAGAGGCCTGGGGAGGGCACAGGCCAGCCAGGCCCAGGGTGAGGCCCAGTTTTCTTCAAAGCTGACAGATCTGACTCCCGAGGGCCTATGCCTGCACAGATCCAGCAAGCCCGCCACTCGGCTGAGAAGGGAGGAGGTGTGCCCACCCTCTGCCCACCTCATTCTGGGTGTACCCTCATCCCGGTCCAGGGGCCTGGGTGCCGACTCCTTGACAATCCCAAGCCCCTCCATTGTCACAGGGCGGCTGATTAGACAGCTTTCCCCAGGGAAGCGCTGGCTGTGGGTGGCAGCCTGCTTGGCACCTCCCTGTCCCCACACAGGGCTTTAGGCATGAAGGAGCAGCACAACTGTGTCAGGCTCGTGAAAGAAGAGAACGCTAAGGATCCCATCTCTACACTGTCTCCTCTGCTGGCACCACAGGCCTGGGTGGGGACCCAGCCCAGCCACTGCCAGAGACCGCCACTGCACAGAGAGGCCAAGAAATGTCAGCGCTGTGCCACACCTCCACATGGGGTACAATCTGTAACACTCCTGCTAAGCCAGGGCACTAGGACCAGGCCACAACCACCAGCCGCCAGCTGATCAGCCTGGCAGGCTAGGAAGCAAAGCCTGTAGCCTGGAGGAAATCTGGGCCCCACTGTCCGAGTATTTAGAAAATACTTATTTTCCTTTAAGCGATACAGCTTTTTTCTCCCCAGGGCTCTCCCTGTGTTAATGGAGACTGTGGCTCTAATTAATTTTTTACACCTTGTGTACTGAAGCTTCTTCTTACATTTCTGCAAATTCTCCTGACACTGTGGAATTACATTTTCTCACCCTTCCGATGCTGCAAATGCAAACAACACAAACCCTAGACATGCCAGGAATCCTGAAAGCCCAGCTGGCGGACAGCACAGCTGTCCACGAGGACAGGAGACTCTCATGGGGGGGGGCAGGGACAGGGGGCAGGGCAGTTGCCCCCCCAGGGAACAGCCACACTCTCTCCCCCACCCTGCCACTTACATACCAGGAGCAATGGCCAATGGTGAGATGGAAGAGGTGGTCCCCCTGTCCCTGTCCTCTCCTCATCTGCCCCTCCCAACTCCCTCTCCTCTCCTCACCTGCCCCTCCCATCCAGGGAGTCCCACACAATGGCAGCCTTCCTCCACTGTCAAGGCAGGCAGTGCAGAGGCTACCTGGCGCTCTGGGCCGCGGAGCAGGGCTTGGTGGGGACCCTGCCTGTCACTTATCAACACCAAGTGCACAGAGACCCTTAGCCTGGGATGTCTGTTGTTACATTAGATAGCCTAGTGAATCTGGATCAGCATCCTGCTAACAGAGCCGGGGGCTTATAGCCCCTCCCAAAGCCTGCAGGGCCTGGCGTGGCCTTCAGGAATGCTGACTAGAGCAGGAATAGTCCTGTCACTCTTTAGATAAATGATCAAAACAGACATGGTTACAAACAGCCACAAAGACCACTGAAAGTAGCCCCTGGCCATCCCTCTGCATGAAGGCCCGTCACCTGGGGGGGGGGGGGGAGAGAGTAGATGTCAGGCCCCTGCAGTGCGGGCCTGGCTGGGTCCTAGACATCGGGGGCAGGGACAGTGGTCTTCCCTTGTCTAACAGGCATCATCTTGTTCTCTGGGGTAGATTGGGCCTATTTTATCATTTTTGAGGCAGGGAGATATGCCCCGATTCCCACCAAGATAGGCTGGGGTTCTGCAGAGCAGGGAAGGTGGGGTGACACACACACCAATGAAAGGGACTCCGCAAGCATTTTTCCCCCCCTGTCATGGGGCTTGAACTCTGGGCCTGGGCGCTGTCCCTGTGCTCTTCAGCTCAAGGCGAGTGCTCTACCACTTGAGCCACAGCACCACTTCCTCCGTAAGCATTTCTGTGACAATTCCTGACCTCAGTCCCCCGCTCCCCAGTGAGTTGGCGCTGGGCCTCAGCCTCCCACTATGTAAAATCTATTTTAAGCTAGGTTTTACCCTGGTAGTCTCCCTGTCCAAGGAGAGGCTGCAGGAAGACAGGGGACAGCACCACACACCGGGCACACTGTGGGCCCAGGCCGGACTTTTGTTTGCTCCTGATGCCAGCTCTCTCCCCAGGGCTACAAAACTGGTGCTGCCGAGTTTCCACCAGGGAATACATCAGATGGAACCGGTTTCTAAGGCACATGGTATACTCCAAGCCAGCAGAGTATGAGGACATAGTTGGGAAAATCAACAAGACCTCAGGCCTAACAGGCAGGAGTGGGTATTCAAGCATGAACCAGCAGGTTCAGGCCGAGATTGACGCCACAGGAGCCTGGATGGGCACTGCCCCTGGCACGAGTGGATACCAGGGCCCAGGGGATGAGCACCCCATGCCTGAGTGGGCACCACATCTTCCCACCCACAGGATGGGGCTGCTCCCAGCCCAGGGCCCCAGCCGCACCTGTCTGCCATCATTCTCTCGGCAGCCCTGCAGTCTGATGAGGGAGCCAGGCACCCGGTCCACCACAGTCAGGCACAAGTCCATGTGTTTCACTGATTTCTCCTTCGTCAAGGCCCACTCCTAGAACACAGGGCACAGTAAGAGGGTGGGACTCAACAGAGCAGGAAATACTAGTGCCTTATTTTAGGGCCCCAGAGGAAAGGAGGGGCATGCTGGGAAGTACGCCGGGAACTGTGGGCCAACTCAGAACCAGACTGCTCTTCTAGCCTCAGGCTCACTACAACCCAAGGCGGGCCTTCACAGGGCTGGACACTGGGCTGCTAACTAGCGGACAGAGCCTGGCAGGCCTTCACCAGGATTGGACACTGGACTGACCAGCGGACAGGGCCTGGCGGGCCTTGGCTGCCCAGATCAACATGAAATACTCTAGTAAGCTCAAGAACCCCATGGGCTCGTCTATGGCTCAGTATGGCTCTAGCCAGGCAGCGGACGGTGAGGCCTGCTGCTTCACTCCTGTGTGCAGACGGTGTCCTTCAAAGGTCTGGTTAGAAACAGCTTTGTGATGTGGAGCGAATGTGTAAAGACTGCAAACAGCTCACTGCAGATGGGAGCGAGACGTGTGGTGTTGGTCCCGAGTGCTGCAGCAGCCTGCTGGCACTCACAAACCATCTGGGAACGGCAGGAATGGCTGCCATGCTGACGGGAGGGACCCGCCAGGCTCTCATCTCCCACCTTCCTCTGAAGGGGCACAGAGGAGGGGCAGAGGGACAGGGGAAAGAGGAAGGGGTGGAAGTCACAGAGCGTTGAGGGTGCAGGAGGAAGGCTGGGGGTGGAGGGAGCAAAGGTCAGAGGAATTTGAGAAGTCTGAGAAGGTTAAGGTTCTAAGGAGAGATGGCAGCAAGGCTCCATGACCTCCTGCTCCCCGTCCCCTCTCCCCCAACAACCAGCTGTCAACAAGTAAATTCTTCAAATGACGGGGAAAGGCAGACATGGGTGGCCAGTCCATGGTAGCTGGTCAGTGTAGGAGACAGCCTGGATGTGTCACTGTACTATTTACATGAGGTATCAGAACTGGGTTGTGAGCTGCCTGGAGTCTCAGACAAGCTCGAGCACAGAGAGGCCGTGTTTCCAATGTGCTAGGTACAGGGCCGAGGTCCTGTGCGCAGGGCCCTTGGAACAAGGTGGGCCAGGATAGCGCTGAGTTCGGGGATGCTCACGCTCCAGGCCCAAGGGCACCTGGCTGGGCTGTGGGGAGCCATGGGGAGCTCGGGACAGTGGGCCATGCCAGGGTGTGGATGGCTATCTCAGCCGGTGTCAGATTTTGGAGCTCTGCAGCCAGCAGGTGGAGGCCACATTCAAATAGCTTTGACCTTTTTGCTTCCACATTTTTTGTTATTTTAAGGCAGATACACTGAATTCCAGAAAATGTAATTTGGGTATGCAAACCACAGAGCTGCTGTGCCAGTGCGACCGTCCCGCGAGGCTCTCAACTTGGAAAATATGGTTCATAAATATTTAGCAAATGCTTTTGTGAGCTGCTGCTCTAAAAAAGCGCAGACTTAATTTTCTTCTTTCCTATGCATTGCCGAGGCTCTGCCAGAGCTGGACAGAGCTCGTGCCCTCCTGCCTCCCGTCCCCAGGGCACTGCCCCAACTGTCCCATCAGCGCAGGGCCAGGGTCACAGCCAGGCGACGGCCCCATCTTCACCTCCAGGCTCAGCAGGGTGTGCGCCTGGGGCACCAGCCACCAAGCACATGTTGTGGTTTTTGTTCAAATTCAGTGATACTCAATAAAATGAATGCCCTCTGGTAATACCTCTCACAGTGACACATGGCCGGGGGTGCTATGGAGATCAGCACAGGTCTAGAACAGTCCTACAGTCCACGGAACGGTACTGAGACAGGACACAGCACAGGGGACCCATGTCTGAGCACTGTCACAGGACAGGGCACAGGAGACAAGTGTGACCAGGGTTAGGTGCCTCAGGAGAGGACGCTGATGGCTGCAGGGCTGGCCAGCTCCATCCACTTACCCCTCCCAGCCTATCTGGCCATGCGGTATTAAGCTTATTACAAACCCACCTGGTTTCCCCCAGCATTGTGACACTCGTAAATTCCAACCACTCCATCTGCGAAGTGTCCCAAAGTGTCTAGGCAGTTGGTTCCCTGCTGCAAGGCCCCAAAGGCGATATCCTGATGATCTGGAACCCTGAAAACCAACAGAGCCCCACTCAGCCATGGTTGGCAGTCCCATCCGACCTCTAACCTCTCCCAGGCAGCAAGAACCTCATGTCCTAGCTTCTGGATTGGCTATAGGATTCTCAGCGGAACCATGTACCCATGGTTCACACCTGTAATCCTAGCTCCATGGGAAGTTGAGATCTGAGGATTGCAGTTGAAAGGCAGCCTGGGCAGGAAAGTCCATACGTTTCTTATCTCCAGTGAACACCAAAAAGCTGGAAGTGATACTGTAGCTCAAGTAGTAGAACTCTAGTCTTGAGCAAAAAAAACCACAAAAACTCAGGGACAGCACCTAGGCCCTGGGTTCAAGCACCAGGACCAACCAGTCCTCTCTTCCCTGAAAAATAATTTTGAGTGGGGGACATTCTCATTCTGTATCATAAGCTTGCTGGGAAGGAAAGCCATTGGTTGTTGGACATCATTTAAAAATCCACTCAGCACAGTCAGGACTGTTGGCTTTCATCCAGTAGAGTTCTGTGTGGCTGTCTGTGGCCCAAAAGGCAAAGGTGAGACACAAGAGAGTCCTTGGCTGTGGAATGACCAGGGGTTAGCCCAACCCTGAGTGGGCCCCGGCTGTGGGCAGTCCTCAGCTCTGGGTCATCCAGGGAAGGGTCACTATCCACAACCTACTTTGCTGTGCAGAATCTACTACTCGGGTCGGCTCCAAGTAGTCCAGAAATAGCTCCCGAAGGCCCCGGGGTCTGGCTCACAGGTGAAGAGGGGTAATTATCAGACATGTGAAAGCAGGAAGCAGACCTCCTCAGCCTGCACAGTGGACAGGCTGCTCAATGTGGAGGTGTGATCTTCAAAGTATAGGTTCAGTGCCAGCCCCACCACAGCAGACGTTTCCTGTCACTTATCATGCTTGTTACTCATCAAGTCACATGACAGCAACAACAAAGTAGAAGCCACTGTGGGGCTGTGGCCTAGTGCTCATCATTTGGATAGAAATAACCAGGGCCTTTGAATCCCACCACTCCTGGTAGAGGGGTCCAGGAGAGAGCCTGGGCCTGGACCACCTGCTCATACTTCAAAGGAGAAAGCCTGGGCCTGGACCACCTGCTCACACCTCATAGGAGAGAATCTGGGTCTGGACCA